CGGGTGCTCTATGCTGAAACCCCAAGGATCCATAAATATTAAAGAAGACTCACCCCATACTATTGATTATGGCAGATTTCAAGATGAGCCAGTAGCAGGGCAAGACTTGCCCCAGGATAAAGGATGGAAACTGATGTTGGCAGATAGGAAGTTAGCTTTTCTTAACTACCCGAAGCCAAAGGGCTTCCTTACACAGGAAGAACGCTCGGTGCATTTTGTGAATATTTTAGATGATATGCTGCCAGGGAAAATAAAATTAAATGACATTACCTCAGTAGATTTCATATTCTACAATGGATATTCTCTGCGAGTGATTGCCTCCTTCAAAGATCAAAACTTGGCTAAATATATATATAGATCAAGACATCTGCTGTCAAAGAAAAGGATAACGGTAACAAGATTTTTCGAAAACAGCACATGTTTGAAATTGTTCCCTGATGAGTTTACGACAGCTGAGATAAGATTTACTTGTAAACCAAAGGAGGAGAGAGGACACTCAAAAGACAAACTGGAACATACTGAGCAAGGGCCCTTGAAACTAAGACAGGAGATGAGATTGCCCAATGAGGGGATGGATAACTTCTATCCAGAAGAAAAGGCATTAATAAATCAGTTTGGATTGTTGCCTTTCTTTGCCCAATCTGAGATCTTGAGAAGATTGGAGACCCTTAGAAATAAGTTAACAGAGATGAATGCTCAGGAAAAAGTAAGAGAGAAAGAACCGGCAACGGACCAATTGAAGAAAGAGAACCTCTCTGAAAAAGCCAAGACAGACCCCATGAAAGATTACTCTTATAATACCTCTACAATTGCGGAGATAAACCTGTTAACAACAGATCTAACACAGTGCGTAAGGGACAGCAACAATCTACCATCTAAGAAGGAAACCACCCCTATGGCAACCACGAAAGACTACCCTTATAATACCTCTGCAGCTGCAGAGATAAACCTGACAGCAACAGATCTAACACAGTGCGTAAGGGACAGCAACAATCTACCATCTAAGAAGGAAACCATCCCTATGACAACCACAACGCGCTCTTGGACCAGCATGAGATACCTGGATGAGGATGAACTTGGTATCAGTCAAATAGAACACCTCAAGGTAGATTCGCCAAAAAAAGGAGTACTGATCACTAATGTTAGCACGCTGCACCCTTCAACTGATTCCATTGAGTACCTGGGCGATAATACATCTATGGACATTGCCAAAATGAATGAAATCCAACCAACAGATAAAAAGATAGGCCCAAAAAATCTTTCAAAGGCAAATTGACTAAGATCAATTTTTGGCAAGACAACGTGCAACCTTGCCTTGCTAACTTGGAATATTGCAGGTTGGCAAAAGAGGGTTTCTGACCAATCCTTTGCTAAATATATCCAGAGACATGACATTGTGTTTCTCCAGGAGACCTGGAGCACAAGTGAAGTGGAGTTAAATGGTTTTTCTGCGTTCTCCCTCCCAGGTCTTTTAAGTACTAGAGGGGGGCGAGTTAAAGGTGGGTTAGTTACTTTAATCTCAACAAGGCTAAGGGCCACATTTAAAAAACTAGACCCACTAGACCATCTGGCCACAGCTGTGCAAGTACAGTGGAGAACCCACAGCTGGCTGCTGATTAATGTATACCTACCCCCACAAAGAGAGAAAAGATTGATAAGAAATACTTGGGCTCAGTTAGAACAGTATCTTGACAAACTACTAAATCAATTTCCTGATGCCTCTGTAGTGGTGGCAGGCGACCTAAATGCCAGAACTGGACAATCTGATGAGGCTTTGTGTGCCCATTTCCACGAAACAGTCCCCATTATAGAGGAAACCCACCCAATACCAGCTAGAATCTCAAAGGATAAAGGCTGCAATTATGCCGGCTTATGCCTACTACACTTGGTCAATAAGTTGGACTTGGTTATACTAAATGGCCGTACAGAGGGGGAGAAGGTCGGAGAATTCACATTTATATCTAACAATGGTGCCTCCACAATTGATTATATAATCGTGTCGTATGATCTTCAAAACAAAGTTCTGGAATGCAAAGTGGAGGAGCGCTTAGACAGTGACCATCTGCCATTAAGTGCACTCGTAGCTGCGGGAAAGGATTTATCCTGCGTTGAAAAAATCGAGCATTCGAGCCCTACAGCTTTGGAGCTCAGATATTCGCGCATCAGATGGACAGATGAACTGCATAAGGAAATTTCAAGTAGGCTATGCTCAAAGGAATTCCTCACTAAGAGAGAAAACCTTATAACTTCCTCAAGCCATGAATTAAAGATAAATTTATTTCAGGAGTTAATTTTACTCCTTCAAGATTCCCTGAAGGAAAAAAGGAACAGGCCAAGTAGGCAATCCTCAGTACATAAAAACTCCAAACCTTGGTTTGATCAAGAATGTCAGGATATGAAGCTAAATTTACTGAAAAAATACAAGAATTATAGATCTGCCAATTTACCCCAACTCCCCACGGGCTGGTTTGAAGATAAACGAAATTATAAAATTTTGATCAAAAACAAAAAACTCCTGGCACAGAAAAGAGAATGGAAATGCCTAATAGATGCATCCAGAGAGAGAGATTCGGCCACCTTCTGGAGACTGGTAGCAAATGGAGTGCGATCTACTTCCTCAGAAGTGGAGTATACTATACCCGCAGGGACTTGGGAGGCATTTTTCCAATCTTCATATTCAGCTCTGCCTTTGACACAGCCACTAATACAGTGTGCGGCAGGTGATGAGTGGCCTCCGGTGTCGGTCGCGGAGATTAGGAGGCTTATTCAGGCACTCAAACACAGAAAAGCCCCGGGAGCAGATAACATCTCTCCTGAACTTCTCAAAGCCAATATTGACTGGTGGGCCCCAGTCCTTGCCACCCTTTTCACCAGCATAGATCAAACAGCAATAATACCAGAGGACTGGGGATTGGCAATCATCGTTCCCATATTCAAGAAAGGCTGTAAACTTGATCCAGCCAATTACAGACCAATCAGTCTCTTAAGCATCATCAGCAAACTTTATGCAACTCACTTACGTGAAAAGTTTGCGGACTGGCTGGAACAGGAGCACATCCTAAAGGAAGCCCAGGCTGGTTTCAGGGCACATAGATCAACTCTAGACCAAGGATTGGTATTGCAACATCTAGTGGAGAAATACACCTCAAAGAAAGGAGGCTCTCTCTATGTAGCCTTTATAGATTTCAAATCAGCCTTCGACTCGATACCCCGGCACAGACTTTGGGAAAAACTAAATGTCACAAACATCGATAGACGTCTTTTGCTTCTTATCCGTAGACTACATGAAAATACTCGGATCCGTGTTAGATGCGACCGTTATGGGAACCTATCAAAGGAAATCCAAAGTTTCCATGGTGTCAAGCAAGGCTGTGTTCTTGCCCCTATTCTTTTTAACTTCTATATAAACTCCTTAGTCGGAAAGATGGAGGAAGCAAGTACTCATTCCCCAAACCTAAATAATACACCAATCCCGGTCCTTTTGTACGCAGATGATGCGGCACTTATTTCCTTCTCTTGTGTGGGTCTAAGAAAACTTTTACGAGCTCTTACAGAGTATTGCGAAGCTGAACACCTAATAATAAATTACACTAAATCAAAAATTATGGTGTTCTCCAAGAGAAAACTCCGACATAAATGGAAAATTAATAACCAACCTATTGAGCAAGTAACATCTTTTAGATATCTTGGAATAATTTTTGATGAGAAGGGATCTTGGTGCCATCAGATTAAGAATTCCATTGTAAATGCGCAAAGATCTTCCAGAGCTATCATAAGATTCTTTTACAGAAAAGGAGGTCAATATGTTCCTGCTGCCTCCCAGGTCTTTGTTGCAAAAATACTTCCACAATTGATGTATGGCACCCAGATATTTAATTGTCAAAAACTCAAGTCCCTGGAATCTGTACAAACTAAATTTTATCGTTCCCTACTAGGGTTACCTACCTGTGTCTCTAACACTGCCATTAGGCTGGAGGTAGGTCAACTCCCTATTAATGCCAGGATATGGATCCTGAAGATTCACTTCTGGCTAAAACTCATATTTTTCCCAGTGGGAGTGGCTCCATTGACTCTACTAGACCCGTTCCAGTCTAAATGGAGATTGTCGCTTTATGAAAAATTGAGGGGCCTGGGGCTTTCCCCACAAGAACTCATAGCCTCAGGCTTTGAAAAGGCTAAAATGATGGTGAGCCAGCGAATAGGAGATGTAGAGCTTCAGGACCATATGAGCAAGATAGATAAATATCCAGCTATCCAAGATTATGGAAAAGGGTTTAATCTAACCCCATATTTGCTGGACCTACAAATCGCAAAATATAGGCGGGCGTTTACCCTTACCAGATTTGATGTATTGCCATCTGCCTTACTAAAGGGCAGATACGAGGGCACACCCTATGCTGAACGAGTTTGCCCATGTGGTCTGAAGGAGGTGGAAACGGCTTCACATGTGTTGTTACACTGCGACCTTTACGGGGATATCAGGTTACTGTTTATCTCCCCTATCGTTCAGAAATTTCCAGGTCGATCTGAATCTCAGCGGCTGAAAATCCTACTAGGAGATAAAAACCCAGAAGTAACACTGAAAGTGGCCAAGTTTTCTGCGGCCGCGATCAAGCGGAGGGCATTAGCTGTAAAAAAGTAAAAGATCTGACCCCTGGATAAGCCCCCCCTTTTTTAAGCCCATACATATACTGTAGTGCATATATGAGTATGTATATGTGTGTGTGTGTGGGTGTGTGTGTATATGTGTATTGTTTTTATGTATAATTTTACAACTTTTAATTGACACCATCATTCCCTCGTAAATTACTGCTGCCTTTTATGTTTTTTTCTTTTCTTCTGGTCTATGACCGTAATAAATTTATTCATTCATTCATTCATTCTTATGATGAAGGCTAATATATAAATCTAATACAACCAACAAACCAAACTTAGGTTTTCTGCTTGAGACATACCTCTTTCCACAAATGCTCCTTCCCTCTCAGAATAAAAGAAACTGCTTTGTGTATAGAGATGTTTTATTTTTCACTATTGAAGGCCGTGGAGCTATGTGGTTACAGAAACACTTCGGCTTAATGGGAATGTGTTTCATTGCGGATACAAAGACAAAAGGCCCGGCCGATCATACTTGAGCTTCCCTGGGCATGATTTTGATTCTGAATCAGCTTCTGGGAATGGTTGCAGTGCTGCTTTCTCGCGAAAGCCTTTGCCGCACCAAGGCGGCCCCCTGTGGCCTCTCTGCTGAGTGTCTGGGCCGCCAAAAGTCTGCCCCAGGAACTTGGAGGACATTGTCTGGACTCGCAACTGGGATGTAGTAGACCGACCCGGCTTTGCTGCTGTGGAACGGGTGGTGGTCTTCAAAGGAACTGTGCTCTTCAGAAGACCCTCCTCCTCTTCTCCCAGCTGACCTCATACGACACCTGGGGCCGTGACAGCGCTTGTGGTGGTTGCTATGCCTACGAACCCGCTGATTTGGGGAGATGTGGGACGATCGTCAGGGACATCGGCAGGGGGAGGAGGATGGCAAAGAGGCCCATGTGGTGGCCCTGGAGGAGGTGGGGGACCGTTAAAAGGCGGGAAATGGTGTGGTCCGCCAGGGGGTGGAGGAGGGTAGCAAGGTCCTGGAGGAGGGGGAAGTCAGGATATTCTTCAGAGCAATTGTGGTCACCTCTGGGCCCTGCATGCCCGTGATGCCCATGCCCATGATGCCCATGCCCATGCCTGTGATGCCCAGGATGTTTGTGATGCCCATGGTGAGGTCCGAAGCTGTGATGGTGATGATGTTGACAAGGACCATGGTGGTGGTGGTCATGGTTGTGAGGGTGCCCATGCGGCGGGTGCCTGCATGTGTGCCCGCACACATGGCAACCTTTTCCTGTATCCTGGAGCGCAGCCACCAGGTGTGCATGCAGCACACATGAGAACAGGAAGCAAAAGGAGAAAAGAAAGAAAGAAAGAAAGAAAGAAAGAAAGAAAGAAAGAAAGAAAGAAAGAAAGAAAAGGAGTTAGCTTACGAACCTTTCACAATTTTCATTGCACCAGCGAATGCACCCAACTCCTTTTTTTTTGCCTTGGATGTAGATTGTCAGTCCTTGGACTTTGGGCTGCTATCACGCTCACCATGAAACAGCAGCCTACCATTCGTCCTCTCCATGCCTGTAAGCCTGTAAGCTGTGCTGTTTATAAACCTCCGATGGCCTGGGACTCGAGCTCAGACTCGGATCCAGAGGAGTCTCAGTCTGCACAGGATCCTTTGCCTCAGGCATCATCTGAACCAGGTCTAGGGTCTGATCCTGAAGAGTCCCAGTCTGCACAGGTTCCCCTGCAACAAGCACCAGCTGGGCCAAGTCAGGGGCCTAACGAAAGTACAGTGGAACCTTGGTTTTCAAACATCTCGTCTGCTGAATGATTCAGAAGCCGAACACCGAAAACCCGGAAGTGAATTCTTCCGTTTTCGAACATGCCTTGGAAGTCGAACGGCTTCCGCGGAGCATTCTTCCATTTTCACCATTCACTTTGCCGACAGCCCTTTGATTTTCGGTTTTTGAACATTTCGGAAGTCAAACAGACTTTCGAAAACCGAGGTTCCACTGTAATTGCAGTGCACCTAAATTTTCTGCCGCCACAGCGGCGGCTGTGTGTGCATGCTGTGTAACATGCTTACCTTAATTGCACACCGTCATGCAACTGTGATCAGCACGCAGTTCATTGTGCATCCACAGTGCGAGCATGGCACATGACATCAGCACGTCCTGTGGCATGCTGATGTCACTTGTGCATGTTGCAGGCACCGGCCCCCTCAACTATGGAGGCAAGGCGGTGCACTTGTTTCTGTCTATGCTGCTTCTGTCCTTGCCTTAAAGCAGGCTTCCTCAACCTCGGCCCTCCGGATGTTTTGAGACTACAATTCCCAGCATCCCTGACCACTGGTCCTGCTAGCTAGGGAACATGGGAGTTGTAGGCCAAAAACATCTGGAGGGCCGAGGTTGAGGAAGCCTGACTTAAAGGTAGGTGGGAAGGCCACTCCCTTTAGCCACGGAGCAAGGGGCAGGGGAATAGACTTACTTGAATATCGAAGATTTCACAGGACTCTATTTCAATCACACTGGGATCTTTTGCATCTGACTCCTTAACGGCTTTTCCTCTGCAGAGTCCTTTGTGCTGCGGAGAAGGAGGAAATGTCAATGTGAATCTGTGCCCCTGCACTGGATGGTGCGGCAGATTCTTTTGTGTGTCAAGGCACCCGAGCCACAAAGTTCCCAGAAGAACAATAAAACACAATGACACAGAGTAGTTTGGTTTATGGGTTCAAATAGGCCACAACTTCATTGGTTACAGATGTGAGCAGTTTGGCTTAGGCATTGGAGTGAAGTTAGGCTACATCTTGACTCCTGGCCATCTGCAGACAGTCCATGGAAAGGTAAACCACTGATAGGGGGTGTCCTATGACTTACATTAGATAGAGGTGTCAGGAGCTCGTCCTACACTCGAGTAGGACCCTGGCAGACCCTCCTGGTCGATCGTTCGGGAGCTTCAAAAGCTTTCTTCAGCCCGAACATCACAGCGACCGATGCCAACAGACACCGGCACACTTAGGGATCCGCAGAGTCTTTGCAGCTTGTGTAACAGACCTCAATAACTCAGCATTTTGGCTAATCTACTTTATTTACATATAAACACACACGGAGCACTGCAACATGGCTCCCTCTCTCTCTAGCATCAGACAGCAAAGGGAAAAAGAGCAAAGGACAATAGTCCCACTTCACGGAACACAGTAACACAAACATCCTGTCTCCGTCACTTCCCACTCTGTGGAGTCAAAACATATACCGTCATGTGATAGACAAAAATCCCATGACTGCAACCATGGAGGCGGAATTCTACCAAGAGGCAGCACCCCAAAGGCTCCCCGTAGGAGCTTCGGACAGTATGACACACCCCAGATCCCTTTAACAGGATCCCTTTACTGAGGAGGGGCAGGCAAAGGCTACAACCTCCCCTCCAACCAAAGGCTTACCCAATGCCCACTGCCACTCGAGCCCAAGATCCAGGGAAGGGGGTGAGAAAGAGGGTGCCGGCTGGCTGCTCCAGGATTACTTTACCTGTGGCACACCCACCCTGCCAGCTGATTGGCTGGGGCTGTCCCACGGCACTGCTGACACGGCCGGCTGTGACATAGGGGAAAGGATGGTGCTGCAGATTCTTTTCCAGGGGCGTTAGAAGAGACTGTTGGGTCAGGCCAAAGGCCCAGGTAGACAAGCATCCTGTTCTCACACAGGCTGACCGGATGCCCCTGAGATGCTCACAGGCAGGACCTAAGCACCACAGCAACTCTCTCCCTTGGGGATCCCAGCCCAAGGACCCATACTGCCTCCAACAGTTATGGTAGCACATGGCTGGTAGCCATTGATACCAAACAGAGAGACCCAAGCTTTGCTTCTAAAGGTGCAATCCTGTTATCCCTAAGAAAGCCAGGGCCCCAACAGCCCTTGGCAAGGGAGGGAGGTTAAAAAAAAGTGTCAAAATGCATATATTTTGAAAGAAAATGCATTTAGAGATGTAGTTTGAGAGGAAACCATTTAAATACAGTGGGATGTTGCGCTGGCCATCAGGCAATGGCTTTTCTCACCTGCCTTGCCCATCCCTCCAGCTCAAAGAGCCTTCAGAATGGAGTTGTTGCCACAGACATTGAGAGTTTGTGTCCTTTGATGAACAGAGTGGAAGACTGTGAGTCCTGGATGTGTGTGAACTCAACAGTGCTTAGTTTGTTTTTGGTTGATGGTTTGTTAATGTTGCTAAAATTGTTTTGTGCAGTGCTCTTTTTCTAGAAAAAAGAGGTGCCGGAACTCACCACGAACACCTCCCTTGTTCTCTTAGAATGGTGCCCACCTGAGAGGTGCCAGAACTGAGTTCTGGTGAGTTCTGACTGGAAAAAAAAAGCCCTGGTTTTGTGGATTACGAGTGCTGTAATGCTTTGTGGTTTCTTGTTATTTTTTAGTTGCTTTGTTAATAGTGTTTTATAGAAGGTTGTTCTACTGAAGATTTGTAATTGTTTTACTGATGATTTGTTTGTTATTCTGCATGATTTACGCTGTAATTGTTTTGTTTTTTGTTTTTATACATTCTTTTATTTATATTTTTATATATTTATTTACATTTTATACATTTTTTTAAAAAATAATAATCATAAAGAAATAAGAATAAAAATGTGCACCCCACCGCTGAGACCATTCCATTGTAACTATCCAACCTCCCAAAATTTCAACACCTCTTGCGATGGTTTGACCCCTTTCCGTTTTAACAGTACAAATTCTGCAGACACCCTCCATATCTCCTCAAAATCATTTCTCCTGCATATTCCCCATCTTACCTTAATGGCACATGTGAATTTATCATTAATAGCTATATCCCACACCTCTTTATACCATTCTTCCATTTTATATTCTGCTTGCCCCTTCCACTTCCTAGCCATCGTAATTCGTGCAGCTGTCAATAAATTTGTGAGGAAGACTTACGCTGTAATTGTGATAATATTTAAATCAGCCTGGGGGAACTTCAGGCCTGTGGGCAAAATGTGGACCTCAAGACCTCTCCACCAGGCCCTTGGGGCTCTCACTAGGCCACACCCTCTCCCCAGGCCACACCCCCTGCCTCTGCACCCTCCTCAAGTGCTGGATTGCATCCTTGAACTCTGATAATGCCTCCTGCTTGCCTGGATAGGCGGCGAAGAGCTGTGATTGTGTGTCTAGAAACCTCTCACATTTCCCCTCAAGATTTAGCTTCTAGGGTTAGCTAACCCACAGCCTGTCGAACTGGGGCTGGTGGGAGTTGTAGTTCAAAACACCCAGAAAGCGCCACGTTGCAGAGCTTATGCTAGACTCTTCGCTTACCGCAGTTCCGTCAGGGAGAAATTCACACGCCGAGATATTCCTTGCAAGACTGGCTCTCGGGCACGAGGTTTCTTTGATGGTAAACTCAACAACGTACGCCGTACGATCGGCCACCTGCAGGGGAAAGGCCAAGTAAGAGCCATAATAATAATAATAATAATAATAATAATAATAATAATAATAATAATAATTATTTATTATTTATACCCTGCCCATCTGGCTAGGTTTCCCCAGCCACTCTGGGCAGCTTCCAACAGAACACTAAAATACAATAACCTATTAAACATTAAAAGCTTTCCTAAACAGGGCTGCCTTCAGATGTCTTCTAAAAGTCTGGTCATTGTTTTTCTCTTTGACATCTGGTGGGAGGGCGTTCCACAGGGCGGGTGCCACCACCGAGAAGGCCCTCTGCCTGGTTCCCTGTAACTTGGCTTCTTGCAGCGAGGGAACCGCCAGAAGGCCCTCGGCGCTGGACCTCAGTGTCCGGGCAGAATGATGAAGGTGGCATATCCATTTGAAATGCCAAGGCACGCCTTTCCTCTTTGCGTTGGGCCCCTGGCAGCTACACGGCAAATTTAAACGAGCTGAATTTCATTAATTACCACAAATTATATATCACATGATTGTAAAAAAACAATAACAACCCCAAATCACTACCCCTCTAAAAGGTTTACAAATATATAAATTAAAACATTAAAATCATTGATTAAAAACAGTTGGAAGCAGGTATTTAAAAATATTCAAAATATGATTAAAACATAAAACAGGGATAGGCTTCCCTAAACAAAAGTGATTTAAGCAGGCGCTGAACAGAGTGCATTTATGGTGCCTTTGTTGTTGGCATCTGACAAGGGAGTGTGCCCCCGGGGGTGAAGTCAAACTGCTGCAGAATCACAGAGCCTGCTGTGGCTGCAGAGACCCGTAACTTGGAATGGCTGCCTCCTGTGTTGTTTTTGCTGCATAAGCAGCACTGCAACAATCTCTCCAGGCCACAAGCCTGGGCAGTGTGTATGGAGGTCTTGGGCTGCCCAGACAAGAAGACCCCTCTCTCGGACTCACTGATGTGGTCCAAAGGAAAGCAGAGCGAGACATTTGGCAACAGCTTGGCCACAGGAGTTGCCAGAAGGGAGCATAAAAGGCACCATCCAACCGTCTTAGGGACTCCACTCCAGATTTGTGTTGGCTTTACTCCTTCTGGCCTTCTGGTATGGATTTTTCCTTGGGTTTTGTGATGTAAGGTTTACTCCCAAAGCTTGCCAGATGTCAATAGGCACTGAGATCCAGACTGCAGGTGCCACCACACTAAAGAAATCCATTTCTTTTGCATGCGGAACAAGCATTACGTGTCACCTTTGTAACAGTGCCAGTTCTGCACTGTCAAATTAACCGAATAGACATGGTTTGCCCCAGTGAACTCTGGGAATGTACTTGCCAAGCATTGTGGGCCTTTGACACCATCCTAATAGTACACAAAAGAGCACATGGCCTCTTTCCTAGCAAAGAAATGGGCATAGCTGTCAACTTACAGATTTGAAAATAAGGGGCCAGCAGCCTCGAAAATAAGGGATCAGCAGCCAAAATAAGGGATTTTAGTCAAACAGCAGCCAAACAAAGCCTCAGGCGGTGGTTCCCACAGCACAGCAACCTGGCAAAGGGGGTGCAGCAAGGAAAACCAACGGGAAGCACTGAGCAAAGGCGAGTCCCCGGGCAACGCGGCCAATTTGATCGGCACAAGGCATGCAAGCTCCACCCCTCCAGTCGTTCTTAGACTCCTTATTGGGTGAGCAACACAGCCAAGCAACACAGTTGAAGCCTCCCGCCTCCCTGGCCGGCAGGGAGGGAGGGAGAGGAGCTGCTTCCTTTGAAACCCAGGAAATTTAAGGGACATCATCAATCCGGGACAGCAGCGGGAAATGGCGCTGGGATAAGGGAGTTTCCCGCCAAATAAGGGACGGTTGACAGCTATGAATGGGAGATGGGGAAAGCTTCACCTGTACCCAACAATTTAAGTTCCAGGGCAGACTGATACATACCGCACTGAAAACTTTTTTTATTTCCTCCACCTTGTAATAGTTCGTCTGGTTGCTGTCCTGATTGTATTGCTCCAAGACCCCGTTGGCGTACTTCATGTGCTCTTCAGTGGCTTCTATGACTGTTACCCTCACTGGACAATCCTTGCACTCGTATAATTCAGGTGGAACTGAGAAAAGTGAGCAGTTATCAGCATTGTATTATTGTTGCCTGGGATTATAATTAACATGCAGGGAGAAGTCATTGATTTATAGCACGTCCGATGTCCCACGTGTCGTCCTTTAATCCCTGACTTCCCCTCGCCCTGTATCTTCCTCCGTATCAAATCCCGAGTGAATTCTCTCTCTTCAGGTGAATTACCTGGCTGTGTTTTTAAGATACTGCGTTTATACCTGAAAGTTAGACGGTGCATTTTTAAATCCAAAGCTGAAAAAATGGTCCTGGAAATAGTAGGTTATTCTTGACATCACAAATTCCTACCCCAATCACCAAAGTCTTGCTTGCAGCATCTGCTGAAAGTAGGGGGGGGGGGAAAGGTTTCTACTGGATCAGCTTGGGGAAAAGATAATTCATATGATGACAATTAAGGGTTTTAGTTCAGTGGCAGACCATCTGGATTGCATGGAAAAGGCCCAGGTTCAATCCCTGCTAATAATAATAATAATAATAATAATAATAATAATAATAATAATATTTATCATTTATACCCCACCCATCTGACTGGGTTTCCCCAGCCACTCTGGGCGGCTCCCAACAGAATATTAAAAACAGGATAAAACATCAAACATTAAAAACTTCCCTAAACAGGGCTACCTTCTAAAAGTCAGATTTCCTTGACATCTGATGGGAGGGCGTTCCACAAGGCTGGCGCCACTACCAAGAAGGTCCTCTGCCTGGTTCCCTGTAACCTCGCAGTGAGGGAGCCGCCAGAAGGCCCTCAGAGCTGGACCTCAGTGTCCGGGCTGAACGATGGGGGTGGAGATGCTCCTTCAAGTATACTGGGACAAGGCCATTTAGGGCTTTAAGGGTCAGCACCAACACTTTAAATTGTGCTCGTAAACATACTGGAAGCCAATGTTGGTCTTTCAGGACCAGTGTTATGTGGTTCTCGGCGGCCGCTCCCAGTCACCAGTCTAGCTGCCGCATTCTGGATTAGCTGTAGTTTCCAGGTCACCTTCAAAGGTAGCTAGCATCTCTAGAGGGCCACTTCCAGTCCTTTTAGACTAAACCACCTGCTTTTTGTCTGGAATGTAGCCTTTTGCACAATGGCTAAGACTCACATCTACCATTCCATTCCTGCCCCCGGCACCCACGCGCCCCTTAGGAGGCTTTCCACGGGAAATGGCCTTAGAAAGGTTCCCCAGCCCTGGTATTCTGAGCAAGATGGACCCAATGATCTGACTCGTTATAAGGCAGCTTCCCCTGTAATGCTGTGAGTGAGCTACCAGATTGCAGTGACCCATCTTTTTGTCTGTATCCTGCCTGAGTTCACAGACACTTCACTTGGAAGCTATGAATACCTGGGCTCACAGTGCAGTTGTATCTATGCAGTTTCTCTTCCTCAAGGAACCGGTTTATTTGCACAACAGCTTTACATCGCCCAAAGTCCTGGAGAAGGCAAAAGACAGATGTCTGTCGGAAGCTCTGATAGAAGCACCCATCTTTTCCGAAAGCAACAAGAGATGTTTGCCTCCCTGCTCTGACAGTTACTGTAGTTTTCTTAAGCTGTGTACACATTAGTGACTTAAAACATTGGAAGGCTGTTTCCGCTGCTGCAATTCAAGTCACATTTTTACCTTTTTGTAGACATTGACGAGGGGCTTGGAATGTCTTCACCTGATGCACATTACCTGATTTGTGTCCCTGCACCTGCAACCCCTGCAAACTCCTGTGGCCTGAAGCTGTCCCCTCTGTGCATGCACAGTCATTTGCGCATGTGCGGCGGCTGTCTCAAATGTGCACATCTCAGCTTAACTATGGCATACGTTTTCAAGCTGGATGGAAGCCGGTTTGAGGGAAAATCAACCAAGCAGTAGAATTCCTCAAGGGCCCACAGAATGCATAGAGATTGTGGCTAATGACAAAGCACTCTCAGCTTCAAACGCCAGTGGTGGGAGTGTGCCAGAGCTGCAGTACACATCCTTAGTCACAAAAACATTGATATCCATAGAGCAGGCATAGGCAAACTCGGCCCTCCAGATGTTTTGGGACTACAACTCCCATCATCCCTGACCACTGGCCCTGTTAGCTAGGGATCATGGGAATTGTAGGCCGAGTTTGCCTATGCCTGCCACAGAGTATCGGCAGTATGCGTGAGTCTGCCGGAAGGAATAAAGATGCTGTTACTTACTGTATAGCCGTAGAACGGCCTGTTTCCACAAGATGACCAGTTTTTCCGAGATAATACAGAGCATTCTGTTTCCAGCACATCCAGAGTTAAGTACATGATGGAATCATTTCCCTGGAATGGGAGGAAATGCACCAAAATCAAATGCATTTCTGCAGAAGATATTTTGGCAGTATCCAGCTACCCCCCATTTACCCCCCACCCCCAATTCTGTGCAATCCAACAGTTTGGGTTTTTTTTAGTAATTCCCCCTGCGATTGGTGTGACCTAGTTGTTAGTGTTAGACTTGGACCTGGGAGGCTAGAATTCAAATGCTGCAGCTGTGAAGCTCGCCTTGGCCAGTCGTCCTCTCTCTCAGCCTAACCTGCCTTGCCAGTTGCTGTGGGAATTAAATGAAGGCGGGATATATATGCAGCAATAAATTAGGGAATGATATATTTCTCAGCAGGCAGGCACCTTTACAGCATGCCTTGAGTTGGTGGCAAGGAAAAGAAATAGGTATCAAAGGAGACTTCCCTGGATGCCAAGATCCAGCGTTGGGGCAAGTAATCTTTGGTGAGAGAACCGCAGCAGAGATTTAAAACAACAAAGTATGTAGCAAATTAAAGCGTGGAAGTATAGGTTGTTAGATTTTTGAAATATGCCCTTGTGAGTTCCTTCCAAAGTTTCCCTCTTCCCCTAGCATATAGAAAGGCAGTATGTTGGGTAAGGTTTTTTGTGTGTCTTTTTTAGGGTTAACTTTCAAACTAACCAATGATCAGATTCATGTGCTCCCAAATAGATTGTAACAGCCAGTAAAACTTAGCTGTTACAAAGTGGTTAAAGTTCCCAAATTATTTGTATAGTTACTCTATAATGGCTTCTGAGAGTCATTTTTTAAAAATACACATTTTTATTAGTTTTTACATATATTTTCCAACCAGAACATCTATGTCATCTCATCTTATACAACATTTTGGCTATTTTAGCATGAGGCTTCCATCAACCACGTCTAATGATTTTCAAACCTCATCTCTTAATCTTACATTGGTTATCCTAACTATTACTTTTAATAATCCATAGCTTAAAATCCATTCTCATAAATCTTTTCTGCAATATTTCTCCTTACAAAACTTATTGTAAGCGCCATGTGGTTTGAGCTTGGAGCAACCAGTCCTCTTTCTAAGCTGAGCTTCTCAGGTAGACTGGGGGGGGGGGGGGACAAAGGCTTGATTACCTAGTTCATCCCAAACAGAGCTAAACCTGGCAGGACAGCTTATTCTATGACATTAACCTCTTCATGCATCAATTAGATTTAAGCATGTTGGTTATATGAGGCGGGTTATCCCACCAACGCCCTCTCTGGCAAATATAAACAATTGCACACACAATTAATGAACCACCCAGAGCCCCATTTTGACTCATTCCCCAAATGGTTTCTTGGTAGTGGCTTGGTCAGAATGTCTGCTATCATTGGTTTGACATTTCTCCAATTCGCCTCACGCGTATAGAGGTATTTCACACCAGTGTGTTCTTGCATGAAACGTCTCGCTTTGAGACAATTTCAGACAGGTTTGGTTGTCCTCCATGGAGCCTGCTAGCTAGGGAGGATGGAAGTTGTAGTCCAAAAAACAGCTGAAGACCCAAATTTGGGATACCCTGGTGTAGACAATGGGCCAGAGGACTCGGTATAAGGCAACTCCCTGTACAGTCATACCTTGGGTTGAAGTAGCTTCGTGATAAGTAGAATCATAGAATCATAGAACTGTAGAGTTGGAAGGGACCCTGAGGTCCAACCCCCTGCAATGCAGGAATATGCAGCTGGTCCATACAGAGATCGAACCTGCAACCTTGGTGTTATCCGCACCATGGTCTAACCAACTGAGCTATCCAGGCTCGATTTTTTGGGTTGTGCGCTGCAGCGACCCGGAAGTAACGGAGCACATTACTTCCAGGTTTCGCCGCTTGTGCATGTGCAGATGGTAAAAATGACGTCGTGCGCATGCGCGGAAGCGGCGAATCGCGACCCGCGCAGACGCGGGTTGCGTTCACTTCTGGATGTGAACAGGGCTCTGGAATGGATCCCATTTGCATCCAGAGGTACCACTGTGTTCCTAATAGAAAAGTCAGCAAAGGAACCAGTCAGAGCTGTAGTACTTACCGCATGTTGTATGTGAGCATCGGCAACACGCAAGAGGGTGAAAATATAGCCATCCTTGCGGTGCTTATTGATCAAGTCGAGGGCCACTCCAGCATCCTTTTCTATTCCTGCATCATTGCAGTCTGCAGAAACCACGGCGGCTTGGTTTTCGCCATTAGAGCCCATCAGCACCGCCATCAGCACAGCAGCTGCCAGAAGCTCCATTTTGGCTGTGGTAGAAACTGGCTTCCTCAGCTCACCCCTTCTCTGCTCTCCCTTCGGAGTTTACATGTGAAGTGTCCTTCCAGAGATGCGCACACACGCAGGGGGATGCTTAAAGGCGCACAGTTTTATACCGACACAACATCTGCAAAGCTAAAGCAGTTGCCTTGGTCCACAGTCAAGGGAGGCAAATAGAAAATGAATCATTAATGGGGTGACAGGAAGCCAAACAGAACGAGATTCAAGTTGGCCAAAGTAGCCATGTGTGAAGGAACAAAGGTATGTGAGCTTTGGCTGAAATAAAAAGTCTGCAAATAGGGAGGAGGAAGCTGTTTTTGCACAGATGTGATGGTCTCATGAAGAGAGTGCAATTTATCTATTGTATTTAATCATAGAATCTTAGAAGAGACCCCTAAGTGTCATCTAGTGGAAACCCCTGCAATGCGGGAATCTCAACTAAACCATCCACGCAAGATGGCCGCCCAACCTCTGCTTGAAAACCTCCAAGGAAGGAGAGTCCACCACCTCCTGAGGGACTCTTGTTCCACTGTCCATCACCTCTTACTGCCAGAAAGTTCTTCCTGATGTTTAGTTGGAATCTCCTTTCTTGTAACTGGAAGCCATTGGTTGGGTCCTACCCTCCAGGGCAGGAGAAAACAAGCATGCTCCCTCTTCCTTGAGATGTTTGAAGATGGCTATCATAACTTCAGGATTTATAAACTGCTTTACATTTAAGGGATACCCAAGAGGTGTGCAGAAATGGAAGAACAGGGGGAAGACGGGGTATAGGCAAACTCGGCCCTCCAGATGGTTTGGGACTACAACTCCCATCATCCCTAGCTAACAGGACCAGTGGTCAGGGATGATGGGAAGTGTAGTCTCAAAAAACATCTGGAGGGCTGAGTTTGCCTATGCCTGGCCTAGAGAGCATCTTTGGGGCTTTAAGATTTTGCAGAAAGGGAGGCTGCTAAAGTGGTTGTATCTGCCGCTTTCTGAAGTTAACGGCTCCAATCAAGTCAGTTAAGTATCTCTTTGTAAGACCAATGAGCACAGGTGACTGGAAAATGGTTAGCTGGGGATGCTTCAGATCTAGAAGCGGAGCAAAAGGGAGCACTGCTTTCCCCTCTTTTGTGGTTGGAGATTATGTTATCACTGAGTATAAGGGAACATCAGGCAGGCACTAAAACATTTTTGTTAAGGCAACCTTATCCAGACACATAGATGTTGACATATTTGAATCTTTGTTGCGATTATTTTTTTTCTAAAAAATTTTTTAAATAGTAACAAAGATTATTATTTTTTCTAAACTTCCTTATTTTTTTTTAAAAAAACATATTTTTACTAATAATTGTAATATTTCTTGTAAGCTCATTAGAGGTTCTAATCCCGTCAAGTGGGATATACATTTTGCTAAGTAATAAATCAAATCAAATAAACAACGGAAATAGGTAGTCTTGCATGGAGCTGGGATGAGTTTGACTTGCTCTTTGTGCTGAATCCAAAACTATGGCTTTTTGAGAGCCCCCTAGAAACCTAAGAGGGGAACAAGATCTATTGGAATGTTACTGCTATAATCCTTTCCATCTCACGAGTCTCATATATTCATAGATTTGTGGGAAGAGGGTTATTGTTTTGTTCTTGTTCTTGTTTTTATTATGCATTTTGTCTTTTTGTCTTGTATTCTTATGCTGTGAACCATCCTGAGATCTTCAGTATAAAGGCAGTATACAGATTTAATAAATATAATAATAATACTGTAATAATATATCACAAAGACGCCACCATCTTCAGTGACCTTCATTCTAAGGAAGCCATGCCTGAGCTGTGGACTGTCATTTCTGAGTCTCTCACTGCTTGGAAATTGGGGTGCGCGTAACAGAGACCTTTGGGGGCAGTTGCCTATTGGGCAATGCGGCGCTGCAACAGGCTCACGTGTCCAGCGACCGAATTCCTCCCCAGCTTTGCGAAAGGTTCAGTGCTCACACAGCCTGGCTCTCGCTTATCTTGTTTTCTTTGAACCTTTGTCTATTGAACCTTTGTATATGTTTTCTTTGAACCTTTGTATATTGAATTTGGTACCTGTGTCATTTTTTAAAAACTTACTTGCCTATTAGATTCACATGAGAGAAAAGCAGAAGCAGGTTTTGTTGCCAAATCAAAGACACAATCTTTGCTCTTTTGTATTTGGACCTTGACACTCTCAGCTTGCTTGTGTGCACACACACACACACACACACACACACACACACACACAGCCTACAAAAGGGATGCCCATTATTTTACAGGGTGGCCTCCACTGCTCATTCAAGGAAGAGAGTTGTTCGCAAGTGCCTGCTGGTGCTTCAGTTGGGGACCAGGGTTCTTGTGGTACAAACCCTGCCTGCCATCTTTAAATTGCAGAGTGGCTTGACCCATTGGTCAGATGCTAGTCAAACAAAACCATGAAGAGTGTTACCCTGGAGAAAGCAAAACCTGCTTGGCATCTGTCTGTCTTGGGTGACAATGGAGAAGTGCTTCATTGTCAAACTGTTGGAAGGTTGCAGCATCTGCTGTGGCTGTAGAGACCGATATGGGAGAGACATGTTTTGTTGCAGCTGGGGCAGATGAAGGTGTGCTGCTGCAGATGCAACATGGCATTTCTTCTCTCTATGCTCCTCCCAGCGACCATTCCTCCTCTGGTCACTGCTGTGGATACACAACCTGACTATCTGTCTCCAGGCACTGCGGCCGTCACGGCAGGGTTGATGTTGCCAGCCTTCGTGCCATGTTTGCAGACATCTTTGTAATGCCCCATCTGCCCGTGGGACTGGTGCCCAAAGCCAGCTCCCCATAGAGCGTGTCCTTGGGGGGGAAGCAAAACAGGCGAGGGGACAATAACCTCAACCCTCACTCATCACTGTCTAGCCGAATGCTCAGAGTTCCCTTACTCTGAGATCAGGGCTACGGGCATACACTGTATAAATGCCTAGACTCTTTGACATCCCTGCCGAAAGTGCATCGTGAGCATGATTCCTCCCCCCTCCATGCACTGGGGAGGAAGGGCATTCATTCCCCACAAAGACGACCCCTGAAAATAAGAAGCCCAAACTTACCCACAAAAGGGCCAGCCTCTTGGGACCTTTAAGCGACACGCCTGGGGACGCAGAGTATGCTTTAAGGGAGCTTATTCTACCTGATCCTATCACTGCACTAAAAATAGCATTCAGGGGCCTTCTGAGTCGATGCACAAGAAGGAGGGCAGTAGCAGAGGCCCTGCATGATCTTCAGGAGTTTTATCAGCGTGCGGGAGATTACATGGGAGGCTGGCAAGGGTCGGGCTGTTCTTATTCCCTGCAGGTGGGGGGAAGGAAGGGCCTACTGGGACTGTGCTCAAGTCAAGGGCCACCCTTGCCTCCTTTTCTGTACCATTGCAGCCTGCAGAAACCATGGACACCTGGCTTTGGGCATCAGAACAGAACAAAGCTGTCAGAAGTGCTAGGAGCTCGCCTTACCCCTTCTGTGCTCTGTGAAGACTTTGCACCAGGAAAGCCCCACAGAGGCACATGGGTTGATGCTCAGCAGGACACGACTTGTTTCGTTTATTAAAGAAGGGGAAAAAAGATATAGCATCAGTGTAATGAAGGCAGCTGTCTTGATCCCGGGTTGAGAAATGTAAACAGAAAATGAATGATTTATGCAGAAATGGAGCCAGAGCAGAATAGCAAAAGCGTGTTGCTCAAGTATCACAAAGGGTAGTTGTGTGAGTGTTGTGGGCCCACTGGAGGAACGAAGGTGCATGGCTGAAATAGCAGGTGTGTGTAAAGGTAAAGGGACCCCTGACCGTTAGGTCCAGTTGTGGCCAACTCTGGGGTTGCGGAGCTCATCTCGCTTTATTGGCCGAGGGAGCTGGCGTACAGCTTCCGGGTCATGTGGCCAGCATGACTAAGCTGCTTCTGGTGAACAAGAGCAGCGCACGGAAATGCCGTTTACCTTCCCGCTGGAGCGGTACCTATTTATCTACTTGCACTTTGACATGCTTTCGAACTGCTAGGTTGGCAGGAGCAGGGACCGAGCAACGGAAGCTGACCCCGTTGCGGGGATTCGAACCGCCGACCTTCCGATCGGCAAGCCCTAAGCTCTGTGGTTTACACCACAGCGCCACCCGCATCCCTAGGTGTGTGTATAGTGAAATGCAAAAATGCATATATTAAGGTAAATTATATTGGGCATAAATATGAGTATATTCATGAAATGGCCAATGAGTGCATAAGTGGTCGGATGACTGACACCCTCTTCTGCAGTTTGTTTTAATGTTTTCCCAAATTGTCGTTTTTTTAAAAAGAAGTGTCTTAAGCATACAAGTCCACTAGTAATCAGCCTTTTGCTGCTTTGCACTGACCTGTAATAGATTCCTTGCTGTGCCTAAAGACTGTTTTTGTATCTTGTTGCTGGCAAAGAGGATGCACTGGGCAGAATCTGAAATGCACCCTTTTCCATTTCTCTGTCTCGCAGCGTGTCTGCTTTTAACAGAATCCCATGGCTCTTCTGCTGCTCCGTATAAAGGCATTCATCCCTCCTAAATGTGCTATAGTCTCTGGTCAAACAGGGGTTGATCATGCTTCTAAACTCTGAAAATACTTATTTGATTGGATGGTATTGTAGGACAGAAATCAGGTATAGTGCTTGCGTAAAATGGGCCAAGTATTGCTCCCAACACGGTTTCTGGCCTTGCCCACAATTCCATGGCGGAGGCTCTCCATAGCCCCTCCGGGGGCTGCGAAAAAGTTCAGGCAGGGGAAAGGGAGGGAATGAGGCACAAATACCAGGGCCAGGGCCTTCTCAGTGATGGCTCTGACCTGGTGGAATGCTCTGTCGCATGAGACCAGGGCCCTGCAGGATTTAAATTCCTTCCGCAGGGCCTGTAAGACAGAGCTATTCTTCCTGGCTTTCAATTTGAACTGAGCCTGATCTTTTATTCCCCTTCCTTCCCTCCCCCTCTCCTTTTTATGAAGATTACCCGCTCTGGGATCCCACAGCTAATTCTCCCGTGGTCTCCTCGCTGGCCCAAATAGGACTAATTTAGCCAGCTAGCCCTGGTGATCATCTAATATTTATTGGATGGATTTCCCCCCTGAATTGATTTTTGATTTTATTGTTATTCACATTTTATACCTTATTTTATGCTGGTTTTTTTAGCATCAATTAAGCGTTTTAAATTTGTTGTTAGCTGCCCTGAGCCTGGTTTTCTGAACCAGGAAGGGTGGGATATAAATAAATTTATTATTATTATTATTATTATTATTATTAATCCTCCAGATGCTTTCCAGGGGGTCTGGGAAGTTCACTGTATCCTACAGTGTTGCACAATCCTGTGTCTGCCAATTTGGAAGGCAGAATGGGAGCAATTTGGGAGTGTGCCCCCACTGTGGACAAGCCACCATTACCATCATGATTTGTGGAAGGTTCCTCCTCAATCTGGACAATAGGCGTTAATCAAGAGGTGCTCCCGAAGCGTCATATGCAAATGGGTTGCAATCAATCAGCTGCCAAAAGAACAGGGACTGAAGGTATTTGAATGGTTTTCTGAAATTTGAGAGTCCCTACCACAGCTGTGAAAAGAAAGGGGGAGGACAAGGTGCCTCTTTGTGCTCTCTGATGGTTTTCTAATGGTCTTTTTTCGCCTCTAAAAGGTAAAGGTACCCCTGCCCGTACGGGCCAGTCTTGACAGACTCTAGGGTTGTGCGCCCATCTCACTCAAGAGGCCGGGGGCCAGCGCTGTCCGGAGACACTTCCGGGTCACGTGGCCAGCGTGACATCGCTGCTCTGGCAAGCCAGAGCCGCACACGGAAACGCCGTTTACCTTCCCGCTAGCAAGCGGTCCCTATTTATCTACTTGCACCCGGGAGTGCTTTCGAACTGCTAGGTTGGCAGGCGCTGGGACCGAACAACGGGAGTGCACCCCGCCGCGGGGATTCGAACCGCCGACCTTTCGATCGGCAAGCCCTAGGCGCTGAGGCTTTTTCGCCTCTCCTCCTCTACATAATGAAGAGACGTGTGTAGTTGCTACTCTGCTAGACAATTTGAAAAAGGGGGGGGGGGTTGACTTATGCTTTACAAGGAATTTAATAAGGTTTTGCTATGCCCCACCCCCCCAGACATACGATGCAACTGGAGCGGGAAACCTGATTTTAAGAAATTGTGTTAAAGTAATTTGGTTTGATCTGAAATAATTTGGGAAATTAATAAAAATAATTATTAAAAAAATATTGCTACACACACCATTTTGCTAGGCAGTAAAACGGGAGATTTTTGGGCAGAGGGCAAAACTCAGCGTGTGTGTCTGGCAACCATCAGAGCTGCTCCCATTAGCTGCCGGACACTCCTTTTTTAAAAAAATAAAATAAAATCCAGAAGTGTCACTGTCACAAGAGGTTCTAGGTTTAAAAAGAGAGAGGTTTCTGCTCTGTGGTGGAAGGCACTCTTGGCCTCACCCCTGAAAGCTAAAGCTATGCTATATAACACGGTACCATTCTGGGCAAAGATGAAAACAAAAAAGGCCGACATGACCATTGGGACAAGCCTGAATGGAAGCGCAGGTGCTGACCCAATGAGTTTTTCTCTTCCATGCCCACTATATGAGTTTTACTCCCAGAGCCGATACGGACACAGGTGGCAATGGCATGGCAGGGCAGCACCTCCCATTTTGCCTCAAGCGGTGAAACAGGATGAGCTCCCCTGTTCACTCCTCCACCTAGAAAATCTTGGGGAGGGATTTCCCCCTTTCATCCTCAGCCACCTCCCCCAGGCTGAAGGTGAAATTTCTCCTGTGAGAATATGTTATGTACTAAGCTTGGATCCTAGAACAATAGGCAAATAGGATCCTAGAAGGGGACGCGGGTGGCACTGTGGGTTAAACCACAGAGCCTAGGGCTTGCCGATCAGAAGGTCGGCGGTTCGAATCCCCGTGGCGGGGTGAGCTCCCGTTGCTCCATCCCTGCTCCGGCCAACCTAGCAGTTCGAAAGCATGTCAAAGTGCAAGTAGATAAATAGGTACTGCTCCGGCGGGAAGGTAAACGGCGTTTCCGTGCCCTGCTCTGGTTTGCCAGAAGCGGCTTAGTCATGCTGGCCACATGCCTGGCTGTACGCCGGCTCCCTCGGCCAATAAAGCGAGATGAGCGCCACAATCCCAGAGTCAGTCACGACTAGACCTAATGGTCAGGGGTCCCTTTACCTTTAGGATCCTAGAATGCAACAACTGATTGGCTTGCAGGAAAAGACCAATCAGGCTCCAGGAGGAAGTTAATCAGCCTATTAGGCTGGTAGGATCCTAGAATGCAACAACTGATTGGCCTGCTGGGAAAAGACCAATCAGGCTCCAGGAGGGAAGCAGAATCAGACAATCAGATGGGACTCATTGTGTAAATAATGTATATAAAAACCTGAGGGTTGGGGGGCAATTCAATCACTGTTTTACAAGCTGCAATAAAGAGCATGAAATCACTACAGGACTCCGAGTATATTTCAGAATATATGTCTCATCTCTCTCACTCTACATGAAAGACACCTCCAGTACCTCCTGGTTTCCTCAGGCTAAACTGCCCCAAACACACACTTCACGGTTACCACCTCTGGAGGCCTTGAGGTCTAGAGGCCTGCTTTGTTTTTCAAAGCGAAAATGAGAAAGGTCTGGTTTCCAAAACAGCCACTCTAGAGGCAGTAATGTCACACTGCTCGTTTATTGAGTATTGTTAAGCTTCCTTGCAGCAGAGAAAACGTCGTTCTTCTCACATTCACAAGGACAAGGAGGTCAGGGATGGGCGGAGAAAAGAAAGGAAAAACAGAAATCTCTGGCCACCATGTTGTTTAGATTCATGAAAATATCCCACCCACCGCAGGGACTAAAGAACGCACAGCTGAGCTGTGAACGTTTGGGGCTTTTCAAGTGTTGCTTTTGGGGTGCTATAAGGCCCAAGATGGGCTCCCTATTCACTGTCAGTCATTCCTTCCCTCTGTGGACTTTGGTCCAAACAGCATGGGAATACTATAAGAGGGAGCTCATTTGGCAAAGCACTAACATTAGTACCACAAAGATTCCTCTGGTGCCCTTTGTGTCAATTCACTGCACAACCAGTTGGAATTTTTTTATTATTACCTTTTGTGGTGAGAGATTATAATGACCATCTTTTTCTCCTCCTCCCTTCCCTTCCTCCTCCAAAACCGCTGTGAGGATGCGGTACCACATGTTGAATAGCTTTGGGGATTCTACAGTACCCAAACTTTAGGCCTTCTTGGGCTCTGGGGGCAATTTTATCATAGGCCTTTGGGGCAGCTCAACACCAGGGATAGTTATTGTGCTGTCTCCTGGACACGTAGCTGAGTTTGAAAACCCAACAGGGAATGCAAAGATGTTTGGCTTAGCCAGTGGTTTGCCCGGAGCACCAGGGCGGTTGACTTGAGGGGTTCCTGTTGGGCTCTCTGCCCCGGGGGGAACGGGTTCCCCATCTAATTGTTCAGGTTGAATTTCTGGCAGGGAATGTAGAGATACATGTTCGTTTGAAGGAGGGAGAACAACCACACGGCCCGGTGTTTCTGGCTGGCCTGGTGGACTCTGGTGCTCATGCGAGTGGTTCCCGTGATGTTTGTGGTGGTGGCGGCGATTGCCGTGGCCGTGGCCGCGGCCATGACCATGACTGTGACCGTGACCCTGACTGTGACCATGATTGTGGCCATGGCCGTCTCCGTGCCCTTTCTGGTGATGGAGTTCTTCACTGCTTTTGTGATCTTCGCTGTGTCCTACCTGCCCAGGTTTAGGTCCAGGTTGTGGATTCTGATCATCCGTGTCAAGTGGCTAATAGGGAAAAAAATATTAGAATTGTTCATTCTGAATCACTTTGCAATTTTTCCCCCATCTTTATATATGTATGCATTTATTGGAACTTATCTTCCACCCAAAGCGGGTGGCGCTGTGGTCTAAACCACTGAGCCTCTTGGGCTTGCTGATCGGAAAGTCGGCGGTTCGAATCCGCACAACGGGGTGAGCTCCCGTTGCTCTGTCCCAGCTCCTGCCAACCTAGCAGTTTGAAAGCACACCAGTGCAAGTAGATAAATAGGTACTGCTGCAGCAGGAAGGTAAACAGCGTTTCTGTGCACTGCTCTGGTTTCCGTCACGGTGTTCCGTTGCACCAGAAGCGGTTTGGTCATGCTGGCCACATGACCCGGAAAGCTGTCTTGGTTCTACTGGTTGGCGACCAAGGCTTTCCTTCAGCTTCCCAGAGTGGATGGCACCCAGGGATTGGGCAGTGGGAAATTCGTGGAACATCCTCACCTGAGAGCCTTCCCTGGCACCAGAGCTGATATCTTTTCAGCACCAGGTGAAAAATACCATTTTGTTCTCCTGGAGGTTTTAAGCTCTGAGCTTTAACACATTCAATCTGGTGTTTTCAAAGGATATTCTTATTGGGGTTTCTGTTGTTGGCTGATTCTGCCCAGTTTCATTTAGCAGGCGACTAAAAATTAGGAGGCTCTTTCTGACAGGAAGAGATGTTTGACAGTGGAATGGGCTACCTCAGAAGGTGATGGACTGTCCTTCGCTGAAGGATTGTAAACAGACATTGGGTGGCCATGTGTCAGGGATTCCTTCGCTGTGATTCCTGCATTGCAGGGAGTTGATGACGCTTTAGACCCCCTCCAGCTCTACGAACCCATGATATAAATGCCTTGCATATGCTCATTTACTGTGGGTTATTGCTTCCAGAAAATAATGCGGCAGCTAGATTGGTGACTGGGAGTGGCTGGCAAGACCACATAACACCAGTTCTGAAGGACCTACATTGGCTCCCAGTACATTTCCGAGCACAATTCATAGTGTTGTTGCTGAACTTTAAAGCCCTAAATGGCCTCGGCCCAGTACACCTGAAGGAGTGTCTCCACCCCCATCGTTCAACCCGGACACTGAGGTCCAGCGCCGAGGGCCTTCTGGCAGTTCCCTCTCTGTGAAAAGCAAGTTACAGGGAACCAGTCAGAGGGCCTTCTCGGTAGTGTCACCTGCGCTGTGGAACGCCCTCCCAGCAGATGTCAAGGCAATAAACAACTATCTGACTTTTAGGAGACATCTGAATGCAGCCCTGTTCAAGGAATTTTTCAATGTTTGATGTTTTATCCTGTTTTTAATATTCTGTTGGGAGCCGCCCAGAGCGGCTGGGGAAACCCAGCCAGATGGGCGGGGTATAAATAATAAATAATAATTATTATTATATGCCCGACTGAGCCACATACCTTTGGGGGGTAGAGTTCACACTGCGCGCTGACATACTTCTGATTATCTACCCGGCTGTTTACCACGGAACCTCTGCACAGGCCTGTCTCCTACGAAATAAACCAGATCCCTCCATCAGGAAAGCACGAGCGATAAAAAAACAACAAGCCTGCCTAGACTTTAGGTTCTAATAACTAAAGCGGTCGTGGGGAACCTTTCCGTCCTTGGAGCGAATGTGATGGAGCTGGGATGGCCACAGGTCAACAATGTACTTCCAAACACAATATTTTTCTCTGGCACCCGCAGGTTCCCATTCCCACACCTCTACTGAAATTAGGCTTGGCAGAAGCCTTCTTTAGCCAATGAAAGCCTAACTTGGGTGTGGGATGCAACTTGGGGGGTGAGGGAGGAGGTTGCAGCTGGGGTGTGGGGAGCTGTGGCATGTGCATGGCGCCCGCAACAGGTTCTCCAGGTTGCAAATGGGCCCATATGCCCAAAAAAGGTTGGCGACGCATGTCTCAGTTGCACATTCACCAGAGATTGAGAGACAGGGAGGGATAGTGGCAACCACGTGCACAAGTCCAACTGTGTAATAATAATAATAATAATGATGATGATGATGTGCATACCGCCCTATACCCACAGTAGAAAGCCTGGAGGCTTAGGCAAACACCCAAAAGGGACGTGGGTGGCGCTGTGGTCTAAACCACTGAGCCTAGGGCTTGCCGATCAGAAGGTCAGCGGTTCGAATCCCCGTGACGGGGTGAGCTCCCGTTGCTCGGTCCCTGCTCCTGCCAACCTAGCAGTTCAAAAGCACATCAAAGTGCAAGTAGATAAATAGGTACCACTCCGGTGGGAAGGTAAAAGGAGGTTCCATGCGCTGCTCTGGTTCGCCAGAAGCGGCTTAGTCATGCTGGCCACATGACCCAGAAGCTGTACGCCGGCTCCCTCGGCCAATAAAGTGAGATGAGCGCCGCAACCCCAGAGTCGGTCATGACTGGACCTAATGGTCAGGGGTTCCTTTAGGCAAACATCCAGGGCATGAATGGGGAGTCTGGAGTTGTCAAGGACAGTCCTTTTTATGCTCTCTACTCATATCTTTGGAGAAGAAGGGGTGGTGGTGGTGCAAAAATGTTCTACTCCTGGGTTTGCCAAACTTGAGTCTCCAGCTGTATTTGGACTGCAACTCCCATAATCCCTAGCTAACAGATGTCCCTTTCAACATCTATATGCAGCTGCTGGGAGAGATCATCAGGGGGTTTGGGCTGGGTGTTCATCAGTATGCGGATGATACCCAGCTCTACCTCTCTTTCAAATCAGAACCAGTGAAGGCGGTGAAGGTGCTGTGTGAGTGCCTGGAGGCGGTTGGAGGTTGGATGGAGGCTAACAGATTGAGGTTGAATCCTGACAAGACAGAAGTACTGTTCTTGGGGGACAGGAGGCGGGCAGGTGTGGAGGATTCCCTGGTCCTAAATGGGGTAACTGTGCCCGGAAGGACCAGGTGCGCAGCCTGGGAGTCATTTTGGACTCGCAGCTGTCCATGGAGGAAACAGGTCAAATCTGTGTCCAGGGCAGCTGTTTACCAGCTCCATCTGGTATGCAGGCTGAGACCCTATCTGCCTGCGGACTGCCTCGCCAGAGTGGTACATGCTCTGGTTATCTCCCGCTTGGACTACTGCAATGCGCTCTACGTGGGGCTACCTTTGAAGGTGACCCAGAAACTACAACTAATCCAGAACGCGGCAGCTAGACTGGTGACTGGGAGCGGCCGCCAAGACCACATGACACCGGTCTTAAAAGACCTACATTGGCTCCCAGTACGTTTCCGAGCACAATTCAAAGTATTGGTGCTGACCTTTAAAGCCCTAAAAGGCCTCGGTCCTGTATACCTGAAGGAGCATCTCCACCCCCATCATCCAGCCTGGACACTGAGGTCCAGCACCGAGGCCCTTCTGGTGGTTCCCTCACTGCGAGAAGCCAAGTTACAGGGAACCAGGCAGAGGGCCTTCTCGCTAGTGGCGCCCTCCCTGTGGAACGCCCTCCCACCAGATGTCAAAGAGAACAACAACTACGAGACTTTTAGAAGACATCTGAAGTTCAGGGAAGCTTTTAATGTTTGATGTATTAGAGTATTTTAATATTTTTTTTTGGAAGCCACCCAGAGTGGCTGGGGAAGAGGCAGCCAGATGGGCGGGGTACCAAAACAAACAAACAAAAAAAATTCAGCACCAAGTGAAGGAATACTCACGGCCGTTTCACGTGGGAGGAGTTCGCAATTGGAGATGTCAGGGACACCCTTGCCTTTGGTGCAAGATGTCTCCTGGATCGTATATTCTACTGCGTTCGAAGGCCCAATAACCCACTGTGCAAAAGGGCAGAGGCAACGGGTTAGAGCAGTCTGTGTCATCTGGATGAAGTGCAAGCAAGATAGAAGACAACAGCCCTCTTACATTCCTGTTGGCCCTCCGCCTCGCTCCCCAGCAACTGGTGCAATTAATAATAATAATAATAATTTTCATTTATTTATACCCCGCCCTCCCCAGCCAGGGCCGGGCTCAGGGCAGCTAACACCAAATATGAATTACAATAAAATTACAATAAAATGTAATAGAAACAACAACAAACAAACAAACAAACAAACAGTTAATTAAAATACAGCTTAACATGCAGCCTCATTTTAATAGTAGCCCATAAATCAAGGCCATAAAGGGAGGAAACATCAGATATTCACCCGAGCCAGCTATCCATGCTGGTCCTACATGGGCCAGCAAAAAAGCCAAGGGGAAATTTATATACCAAATCCCATATAAGGGGTCAGAGTGAGTCTAAGCCAAAGGCCAGGCGGAACAGCTTCGTCTTGCAGGCCCTGCGGAAAGATGTCAAATCCCGCAGGGCCCCAGTCTCTTGTGACAGAGCATTCCCACCAAGTCGGGGCCAGGACTGAAAAGGCCCTGGCCCTAGTTGAGACCAATCTAACCTCCTTGAGGTTTGGGACCTCCAAAGTGTTGTTATTTGTGGACCTTAAGGTCCTCCGCGGGGCACACCAGGAGAGTGCTACTTTTATATCCAATTTTTTCTCCAAGGAGCTGAAGCTTCTTCTCCTCTTCATTTTAACCTTACGACAACACTGTGAGGTGGGTTAGACTGAGAGAAGGTGATGCTGTGAGCTTCGTGGATGAGTGGGGCTTTGAACCCTGGTCTCCTAAGTCCTAACCATGCCATCATGCTGGTATTAGAAAGTATTGTGCCCCCAAACATGGAATTTCCAGTTATTCGTGGCTTATAGGTAGCAAGAAGGCCTCTAGGCAATGAAATCAACTATCCTGTGACGAATGGGGGCATCTAAATGGCAATGCTGCAGTCTTCCAGGTATTTGTTAGACTCCAACTCCCATCAGCCAGAGTCAGCATGGCCAAGGATCAGGGATTATGGGAGTTGTGGTCCAGCGAGATCCAGAAGGCGACAGGTTCCCTGCTCCTGCTTTCAAGGATGTCCAGTCGCAAACTTACCTGTGACCGTGCCTTGGTGACGTTGAGGATGGCAAAATAATGAGCATGGTTGTTTTCTAAGTTGAATTTGGCAAGGCTCTCTGCCGCCGCCTCCTGGAACCTGGCTTCAGTTGGGTCCCCGGGAACTGGGCAGTCGGGACAAACTTTTGCGATAGCCCTTGATGAAACTATTTAGAAAACAAACAAGCATAGTTGGATTTGCACAGCTAAATGTTCCTTTATACAGGCCAGTAAATTACTGGGCAAGCAGAAGTCGCAAAAGGCCTTTGCTTCTTAATCTTGTTAAATAAAGACACGTCTTTGGTTTGCTCGTGGACCTTCAGTTTTATTGAGCATCCTTTCTGGTTTGTTACTTCCTATGTGTTACAATAGGGACGCGGGTGGCGCTGTGGGTTAAACCACAGAACCTAGGATTTGCCAATCAGAAGGTCGGCGGTTTGAATCCCCGCGACGGGGTGAGCTCCCGTTGCTCGGTCCCTGCTCCTGCCAACCTAGCAGTTCAAAAGCACATCAAAGTGCAAGTAGATAAATAGGTACCACTCTGGTGGGAAGGTAAACGGCGTTTCCATGCGCTGCTCTGGTTCGCCAGAAGTGGCTTAGTCATGCTGGCCACATGACCCGGAAGCTGTGTGCTGGTTCCCTCGGCCAATAAAGCGAGATGAGCACCGCAACCCCAGAGTCGGTCACGGCTGGACCTAATGGTCAGGGGTCCCTTTACCTTTACCTTATGAATTTCCTTACAAACGTTAATTCAAGCAAATGTATAGAAATACATACGTGGGCGTAAAACGCAGTCGTAGTAACACAGCTGAGAAACTTTCCCGTGGTTATCTGCGTAAACTGTTACTTTGCACTGTCCATAGACCTGGAGCAACAGAAAGGTAAGTGATGTTTGTAGAACTGATTTGTTTTGCCAAACCAGAAACCTTCACCTTTTGCAGACCAAGGAGTCAGCTTAGCCCCCAACTTGCAATGCAGAATCACTCCCCCCTTGCAAAATCTGATATTATTTTTATAATATAATATAATATTATAATATTCTTATTTTTAATCTGAGTATCTGAAGAAGTGTGCATGCACATGAAAGCTTATACCTAGAACAAACTTAGTTGGTCTCAAAGGTGCTACTGGACATTTTAATTTTTTTTTTGTTTATTTGGACTGATATTATTTGTTATTACTTCTCTCTAGCTCTCCATGCATGCAAGTTTTTGTTTTTTTGTTTGTGTTTTGCAGTTTCCACTCAGTTTCACTGGCCTCAAAATGACAGTCTGTATTCCCTCCCCAATTTAGTCTGGATTTGTCCTTTCCCAGAAGTCACCAGTAAATTAAAACACTTCTGTGGCCAATGACCAATATATGATATTTCAGTGGCCTGTTTTCAAATTAAGCCCTGGCCTGGCAGTACTCTCTGGGCAGAATGATCTATTACACCTCCCACCCCAATGGGGCTACTCTAAAAACAGCAGGATCCTGCCCCTTTCCCACAGTCCCAAATCATCTCACCACACTCTGCCACTGGCATCTGCTTCCCTCACTAGAATTTTCTTTGTATTTGGCGAAGGCTTTGGGGGAGAGAAAGGGAACCGTGCAGACATGTGCAGAAGGTGGGTGATGTGAACCCCTTAACCTTTCTTGTGAAGCAATTCAAATCTGAAATACACTATAGATCTTTTCAGGTCGCACCAGATCCTGACTTCGCAAAGCTCTTCCAGATGATTGTACAAAGTCATTTTCTTTTGAAACCAGACTTGTTGCTAGGACATAGGTTTTGGTTTTCAACCTTTTTTGAGCCCATGGCTCCGTTGACCAACTGCATTCTTTCTGTGGCTCCCTGTGCAGCTCAGGACCCCAGTTATTTCACTCCTTGCCTGCAGAGCTAGCAGCCTCTCACCCCTTTTTTGAACACGCTCCCTTGTGGAGGGTTCCTGCAGCCTTCTCTCTTCTCCTTTCTCCTTGGAGTCCTCTGAGCAGCAGCCGCCACTGCCCCAAAGAGAGGTGCCTCCTCACGCCACCCCACAGAGGCATGGAAAGAGGATGCCCCCAGCCTTAGCAACCTGACAGAGACTGGTCAAAGGTGATTGTGAGGCCAGAACCTTACTCCGAGGCCACATTGACTCCTGGCAACCAGAACCTCCTGGCCAGCCCCAGAGGCACCATTCTCCTGTGGAGCTTGTAGCCAGGGCTGCTGCAGCAAACAGCTGTGCAAGCCTTTGGGAGGCAGAGACACATGAAGTCATCAGAGGAGGGAGGGAAGGAAAGAAGGACAGAGGCCAGTGTTGCCCGTGGCACCCATGACCATCAATCCAGGCACCCTAGTGTGCCATGGCACACTGGATGAAAACCGCTGCTCTAGGGTGATAGTGAAATTTCATCCACTTTAATTGCACAGTGGGTGGTGCTGTGGGTTAAACCACAGAGCCTAGGGCTTGCCGATCAGAAGGTTGGCGGTTCGAATCCCCACAACAGAGTGAGCTCCCGTTGCTCGGTCCCTGCTCCTGCCAACCTAGCAGTTCAAAAGCACATCAAATTGCAAGTAGATAAATAGGTACCACTCTGGCAGGAAGGTAAACAGTGTTTCCGTGTGCTGTTCTGGTTCACCAGAAGCGGTTTAGTTATGCTGGCCACATGACTCAGAAGCTGTATGCCGGTTCCTTCAGCCAGTAAAGCGAGAGGAGCACACAATTCCAGAGTAATCTGCAACTGGACCTAATGGTCAGGGGTTCCTTTACCTTTACCTTTTTAAGTTTCCTAGTATGCACCTGAATTCCTCCCACCAAATAGTGGCTGTCTGGAGGCATTCCTAGCTTAAAAACAAAACTTAGCGTGTTCAATCCTTTTCTGAACTTGGCAGATCGAATACTTACTGTCTCATGGGCGCTTCTGAAACTGCAATCCTTTGCCTGTTTTCCGCTGAGAACATGGCACACGGTTTCCAGCACATCCAAGGTGAGAAAATACTTAGAGACTTCAGGCTCCTATAGAAGACAAAAGACGATAAGAAGACGAAACCCTTTGCAGCACAAGACAGAGCAGAATCTGAAAAGGCAAGCCTGGCTGGCTTCCTTTCACACAAAACAATTTCTGTAGAACTAAGTAGATTTAACATTGATGTCAACAAAGTTATTCCATGTAAGTTTTGACTACAGCCTTAGACTTTCGTTCTCCTGGGATTTCAAGGATCACAAAGATCCAAAATGCCTCCTTTTGCAACCATTTATTCAAACAGCTGCTTCTTTTGCAACCACTTATTCGAAACCTTTAAAGAAAAGGGTCTCACAACTAAACAAAAAAGCCCCCCCCCCCAATAAATAATGGCTCTTAGAGTTATGTTTTGGTGTTCTAAAAATGCATGCAGCCAGGTCCTCCTTTCTGAGAGCATATGCTAATCCCTGTGCTGGTGGTCAACAAAGAAGGTTTAAAGACTCTCTCAAGGCAAACAAAGAAGGTTTAAAGACTCTCTCAAGGCAAACTTTAAAAAATGTAGTATAAATACCAACAACTGGGAAACACTGGCCTGTGAGTGCTGCAAGTGGAGAACAGCCTTTACCAAAGGTGTAAAGGCTTTGAAGACGCTCAAACTCAGGACGCAAGGGAGAAACTTGCTAAGAGAAACGCACACTTGGCAAACCTTCACCATGATCAACTCCCATCCGGAAACCTATGTCCCCACTGTGGAAGGATGTGTGGATCCAGAACTGGCCTCCACAGTCACTTACGGACCCACTGTTAAAACTGTGTTTATGGAAGACAATCTTACTTGGCTACAAGCGATCGCCAAAGATAATAGCACCCAGGACTATTGCATCCGCCCCAACACTTGCTTATTCCTCTGCCGCAGTTTCTCCTCTTTTAAAATGGAGCAATTCTCAGCTAGAATTCAGTAAATATTATACAGGCTGCAGCTTTCATTCTGTACAACTGAGGCCATGGGGAGGCCAGTGCTGGAACATGCAGGCAGATCTGGGATGGGCTGAAGCAGAGGTTGCTTGGCCATCTGTCTAACTGAGATTCCTGTATTCTAGGGGGTTGGACTAGATGATCCTTAGGATCCCTTACAAGCTCTGCAATTCTACAATTCCAGCATCAGGAGGGCAACATGTTAGCTACTCCTGGTTTGGAGTGTCCACTCAATAGATAGTACAATCGGTCCCCCTCATCTCCCCCTCTTTTATCTGATGTTTTGGAAGGTGGTTGTCCCCGACTGCAATGTAGAGAGCAAAGTCAGAACCAGGGTAGCTGCTTACCTGCGGAAGTTGCCGGGCATCAAAGATTCGCTGAAGACCAAGCACGTACCCCTTTTTTTCATGGGAATTGATCCAGTCTAAGGCCTGAGCTGCAGCTGCTTTGACTACAGAATTATTGCACCCTGGGGAGAGCAGTCCTGTCAGTGGTGGTCTTGGTAGCTGTCCTGGACGAGGTGGAAGACCGGCTAAGGAACACAATACCTGTATCCCGACCAGGAAGGAAATTAAAAGGGCCATTTTGGAAAGGCCTGGGTACCAGGGAGGGAGATTCTGCAGCCCCTCTGGAAGAGCAGGCTTTGCAGTACTCTCAGGTTTCTTTATATACTTTTGAGGTAAGTCACTAATATTTGCTCTTCTTCCTCACCATGGCCAACACCTTTGAACCTGGACATGCAAACTGCAAACAGTGAGTCAATGATTAGAAGGTTGTGTTCACAGGTTGAAAATGTGATTTTCTAACCAGCTCTGGACCCATGTCCTTGGCTTCAGATTGAAGTCCGCAGAAAACATCTAGCAATAATGGTGCCAAACTAATCACTTGTTATATAAATTCTGGGCAGGGGCCAGCTCTACCTCTCTTTTAAATCAGAACCAGTGAAGGCGGTGAAGGTCCTGCGTGAGTGTCTGGAGGCGGTTGGAGGATGGATGGCGGCTAACAGATTGAGGTTGAATCCTGACAAGACAGAAGTACTGTTTTTGGGGGACAGGAGGCGGGCAGGTGTGGAGGATTCCCTGGTCCTGAATGGGGTAACTGTGCCCCTGAAGGACTAGGTGCGCAGCCTGGGAGTCATTTTGGACTCACAGCTGTCCATGGAGGCACAGGTCAAATCTGTGTCCAGGGCAGCTGTTTACCAGCTCCATCTGGTACGTAGGCTGAGACCCTATCTGCCTGCGGACTGTCTCGCCAGAGTGGTACATGCTCTGGTTATCTCCCGCTTGGACTACTGCAATGCACTCTACGTAGGGCTACCTTTGAAGGTGACTCGGAAACTACAACTAATCCAGAATGCGGCAGCTAGACTGGTGACTGGGGGCGGCCACCGAGACCATATAACACCAGTCTTGAAAGACCTACATTGGCTCCCAGTACGTTTAGGAGCACAATTCAAAGTGTTGGTGCTGACCTTTAAAGCCCTAAACGGCCTCGGTCCAGTATACCTGAAGGAGCGTCTCCACCCCCATCATTCTGCCCGGATGCTGAGGTCCAGCGCCGAGGGCCTTCTGGCGGTTCCCTCATTGCGAGAAGCAAAGTTACAGGGAACCAGGCAGAGGGCCTTCTCGGTAGTGGCGCCCGCCCTGTGGAACGCCCTTCCAGCAGATGTCAAAGCGATAAACAACTACCTGACATTCAGAAGACATCTTAAGGCAGCCCTGTTCAGGGAACTTTTTAACATGTGATATTTTACTGTATTTTTGGTTTCTATGAAAGCCGCCCAGAGTGGCTGGGGAGGCCCAGCCAGATGGGCGGGGTATAAACAATAAATTATTATTATTATTATTATTATTATTATTATTATTATTATACAAGAAGATCTATGGTGCAATCCTTCGCAGGTTTACCGAGAAGCAAGTCACACTGTTTCTGATGAGGATGTTCTGTTACACACCAGAGGCAAGTGTGTTTAGGAGCGCGGCCTGGAAGCGAACTTATTACCTAACCAATGCACACTTTACAAGTGTTGGTGCTGACCTTTAAAGCCCTAAACAGCCTTGGCCAAGTATACCTGAAGGAGTGTCTCCACCCCCATCGTTCAGCCCGGACACTGAGGTCCAGTGCCAAGGGCCTTCTGAAGGTTTCCTCAGTGCGAGAAGTGAGGTAACAGGGAACCAGGCAGAGGGCCTTTTCGGTAGTGGCGCCCTCCCTCCTATCAGATGTCAAGGAAATAAACAACTATCTGACTTTTAGAAGACATCTGAAGGCAGCCCTTTTTAATTTTTAATGTTTGATTGTTTTATCATGTTTTTAATATTCTTTTGGGAGCCGCCCACAGTGGCTGAGAAATCCAGTCAGATGGGCGGGGTATGAAGAAGAAGAAGAAGAAGAAGAAGAAGAAGAAGAAGAAGAAGAAGAAGAAGAATCTCAGTGGGAGATTGTGGCGAGAATGGGAGGAAAACACCATTTGCCACCCCTAAAAGTCATGTTAACTTATCACTGTCAGACTATCTAGAACCACAGAACTGTGTAGTTAGAAGGGACCATGGGAGTCATCTCTGATATGTGGGTGTCATGATCTGGGACCCAGGTAGATGGGACCCAGGTAGATGTCGTGGCCCAGGAAGTATGTCAGAACCAAGCACACCAATGCTCTCTGTCTTTTGCTGAGACTGCACCCACCATGGGCCTCTCACTTCACCTTATCAGGTCAGTAAAACATGTCAAGAGCTCGCTGGCCTTCTGCAGAAGACTGGGGGCTGGCATCGATGCCAGGAGAACCATAAATTCTCCTGACCCATGCAAGTCTTCATGTAGCAGATAGCAGAAAAAGGCACATTTTGTGTGACTGTTGCTTAAAGATACCCATTGCCATAGCAATTAGGAGCAGGCTGTTCTGACCGGTGAAATTTGTTTTAAGCATCCACAAGCTTTCCATGCGTTCTGTTATCCAATCATATTGCTGAAAAGGATCATGCACGAGGTGATCCCACATGCAATTGTTATAAAAGTGTCTTCAATTTTGTATTCGGGGTCCAGAATTTGGAGAATTCCTCTGGATCATTTATTCTCGCTGTGGCCCGCAATAAATACGAACTCTTTCCACGATGCTGCTGCCTTTATTTGGCTAAAGAGGACCAGCGTACTTCCAGAACCCCCTTTGTAGGGTAACAGTCCAATCCACTGCAATGCAAGCATCTTTTGCCCAACATGGGGCTCACAAACCCATGACCCTGAGGTTAAGAGGCTCATGCTCTACTCAAATCTTAGGCATTTTTGTTTTGCTTACTCCCAGCTACATCAAAGGCTGTTACCTTCACTTTAAACCAGCTGAATTCTGCTGAAAACATGTGGCCATGTTAATAACCAGCAAATCATTTCCCAATTTTAATGTTGGAAATGTGGCCAAAAAAGAGAGGAAGACCAAAAAAAGAGAGAAAGACCACACTGGAGAGCCAGTGTTGTGTAGTGGTTAAGAGCGGTGGACTCGTAATCTGGTGAACCGGGTTCGCTTCCCCGCTCCTCCACATGCAGCTGCTGGGTGACCTTGGGCTAGTCACACTTCTCTGAAGTCTCTCAGCCCCACTCAGCTCACAGAGTGTTTGTTGTGGGGGAGGAAGGGAATGGAGAATGTTAGCCGCTTTGAGACTCCTATGGGTAGTGATAAGGCGGGATATCAAATCCAAACTCCCCCCCCCCCACATTGCAATTCTAAAAAGGTTTATTTACCCAAATCCTACGTGTGTTTGTTTTACATACTCTCAGGTACATAAAAGTTGTTTACCTGCCCCTGATGTTACTTGAGCAGTTATCTGTCCAATTATACAAATGAACTTGCAGCCTTTGGAACATGGCAGTCTAGAGCTGTAGCCCGAGAACTGGGGCTCTTATTCCCTCCCCTTGAGGGGGGGAAATTTTTTTCCTACTGCTGCTGAACATGCCTTGGAAATTGGGTGGACATCAGCAGCGGCAGGGAGCTCTTTTCCCTCCTTCCCCAAAAAAGTACATTCTGTTCCAAGTGCTGTTGTGCTGCAGAAATAAGGGGGAAAGGTCATTCTTGCCCCATCTATTGACCAAAGGAACAAGGACTACCAACTGCGATTCAAGCAAGAACATCAGCAAAAGAAGTTCAACCTGGCCATATCAATACCATGTAAGTTCACCTCTTTGTTCTGGCCCTGGAGCACAGATCTTCTTCCTCTGCCTTTCTGGACCACTTCCCTTCCGTTGTGTCTGTTTAGGCAAAATAGAGTGGTACTACGACTTCCCTTGATCTGGACACTATACTTCTGTTGCTGCAGCCTACTATAGCATGAGCCTTTTTTTGCTGCTGTGTCACAACGCTTACCCATGTTAAGCTTCTGGTCCGCCAAGTCCCTGAGATTCTTTTCACATGTACTGCTGGAAAGCCAGGTGTCCCTCATCTTATATTTATGCAGCTGGTTCTTCCTGACTAAGTGTGCAACTTTTTATCAATATCGTTTATACAAAATGTAATTTCTTTCAAAAAATAATAATAGGCAGGTTGCAAAGTGTTTCTTTTTTTAACTAAACAAATTCAGTTCATAGCATCTTCTGGCAACAGAGTTAGGTGAAATCTTGGGGAGGCATTGCCCATTGGAGAAGACTGCCCTAAATGATGACTAATGACCCCCCCAAAAAATCTGCATAATAATGTTAAAGGTTTGGAGGTCAGTGTGGATGATACTTGTGGGTCCCTTCGAAACCTGTGATCCTGAATAGCTGAGGTTAGAATGTATAAGAGGAAATGAACCAGCCAAACCAATTCCTTTGTTAAGGTAATGGCCTCGGCTGGCTTATTAAGTACCACCATTTACATGTCCAAAGAGGCTGCCCTGTTGCCATAAGGCATATGGGTAGGCCTTTACCCACCTCACCTGGCTGGATGCCATATCATCATCATCATCATTTTATTATTTACACCCCACCCAACTGGTTGGTGGCTTACAGCACATATAAAAACATAATAAACCATCAAACATTAAAATCTTTTAATAATAATAATAATAATAATAATAATAATAATAATAATAATATCTTTATTGTCATTGCCCCCTTCGGGGACAACGAAATTACTTGACTGCTCCATAAAAACACTAATTAAACAATACAGTATAATACAGCAAGGGAGATTAGATGACTTTCAAAGTCCAGGCTTCCCATTCAGGGCCGAGATCGCTCTGGAGAAGAAGCTGTTCTTAAGACGGCTCGTTCTTGTCTTCATCATCCTGTATCTCCGTCCCGACGGCAGGAGCTGGAAGAGACAGTGACCAGGATGCGATGGATCTTTTACTATGTCCAGTGCCTTCCTATGGCACCTTGTGGCATAAATCTGCTCTAAGGTGGAGAGTGGGCAGCCAACAATGCTCTCTGCTGCCTTAACAACTCTGCACAACCCCATCCTGTCCTGGGTAGTACAGTTTCCGTACCACACACATAAGCCATAAGTGAGCACGCTCTCAATGGCACAGTGATAGAAGGCAAGCAGCAGTTTCTGCGGAAGATGGTTTTTCCTTAGAATTCTCAAAAAGTACAGTCTCTGCTGTGCCTTCTTCACAAGCCCCCTTGTGTTGACACTCCATACATTCTAACCTCAATCAAAAGTGGCTGGACGTTGCTCTTCTGTCTCCTGAAGTCCACC